TCGTTTATTTACACAATAATTCACACAGAGCGGAGCTGAGGTGTGCACGTTAGGCTAAAACGCCACTCTTTAATGACGGTTTGCGTGTTAATGAAAGTAATCAATGAGTGGTACAAGGGGGTCCCCTCAGAGCTTTGGCCCGTATACTAAACATACAATTACGCTTAATTGGCGGCACTTCTTCCGTTGACAATAAAGCCCGGTCCCGGGATGCAAATTAACCGTCGCGTCGCGGCGGGCGCGTGGGAGGAACGGGAGACGGCTACCGTTTAATTGGATGATGTCCCAGCTGGCGGTCTCAACTGGAATAATTTGCCGTCTATCTAGCATACCTTGGAGAACGTATTGTCTAAAAGTTTATGGCTCAGGGCTAGAGGCAAAATTTGTCTTCGTCTTTTCAATGACTCAAATCTAAAACAACTGGGAAAGCTGTTTTCAACGAGTATCAACGACGCTTAAAGCGGGGAACACATGTGTGTACATCTATGCGACGTCAAGCGCATGCCACGTACAGTTAAACAGTGTGTATCACAAATCAGTATCGAAATCGCTACAACACTTTTATACTTAATGCACTATTTTGAGCAAAACCTAGTAATAAAATGTTAGTTAAATTTTATGAGCACAACCGTGTAATAAATTGTTTGTTAAACCTAATTGTTTTAAATAACACTTTAACAAATTTAAATGGCACTCTCAACACGACACGCAGGCACACACAAGGATGGCACAATTACACAGAAGACAAACACTTTGAGTGAGTAGAAATACTTTGTTTGAATATAAAATATATTTTGCATTGTATAAATTCACTTTTCCACATCCTAAATGTATTTGTTAAATGTAAACATTGTTTGTAAATCCCAGGCCCTGAAGATGTTCTCAATAAAGATCGAAACGTTGGCACGATAAAGAAAATGTTTTTCTGAAACCTACGTCAGACCAGACCGCATCTCACGATATCTGAATAACTATCGATTAACGGTCACTAATCTCTACACGTTTTAAATAAAGTTATTCCAGTGTTTTGATAAATTTTCTGCCTAACCATCATAATTAAATAATTTTTATAAAAACTCATGAATTTTTTATCTCGTTTAATTTGGTTTATATTAAAAAAAGAATGTTGTAATTAATGTAAGGACAAAATTACATACATACATTTTGAAATAAACTAGAAAAAATATAAGTGTCTTGTTCTGAAGCAACTCGACGAAAATGGAGTAATTTCACGAGCAAATCCATGAAATAATTGTTAGTTAAATGTTATGAGAAAAATCGTTTAAAAAATAGTTAGTTAAATTTTATGAGCAAAACCGCATAATAAATTGTTAGTTAAATTTTATGAGCAAAACCGTTTAATAAAGCGTTAGTTAAATTTTATGAGCAAAACAGTGTAATAAATTGTTATTTAAATTCAATATATAAAAAATGGTTTTCCGGTGTTTTGATTTATACAAAAAATTTTACCAACCCATTAAAATTAATTTAAAAAAAATAAAAACCAATTTTGATCTCAGTTAATTTCGTTTATAATAAAAAAGTGTGTGTGGTGATTAGTGACCGTTAATCGATAATTATTCAGAAATCGTGAGATGCAGTCTGGTGTGATGTAGGTTTCAGAAAAATATTTTCTTTATCGTGCCAACGTTTCGATCTTTATTGAGATCATCTTCAGGACCTGGGATTTACAAACATTGTTTTCTACATCCTACATGTATTTGTTAAATGTAAATAATGTTTGCAAATCCCAGGCCCTGAAGATGATCTCAATAAAAATCGAAACGTTGGCACGATAAAGAAAATGTTTTTATGAAACCTACATCACACCAGACCGCATCTCACGATTTCTGAATGATTAAAAAAGTATATTGTAATTAATATAACGACAAAAATACATGTTTGAATAAAAATATGATTGTTCGGTTCTTTTGTCTTCGACTGTACTCAATGCTACCCGACGAAAATCTGGACAGTGGGGATCGCAGAGCGTCGGGTAGATGTGCACGGGGGTAATGCAACCTTATGGAAAATCTGAGTTTGGATTTGCGTCGGGTAGCATCGGGTAGGGTCGCATGGCGTTGCATCGAGTAAGTGTGTTCCCCGCTTAATCGAATGCGTTTGAACTTTTTTTATGTAAAGGGAAGACTTTATAAATTATTTCGTTGCACTTGGCTCCATTCCATGTTTGGCTCCATCGCTAACATCCAGTTCATTAGAGAGTTCATGTGAAAGGATTCGTGATATCGACCGGATGTCTGTCGGTGCACAATTACACTTGAGCAACTCGAGACATGTTGTGAAACACTGGCCGGACGTCAACGTATAATTGCGAAAACGACGTGCCTTTGATATTCTCCTCGACATTTCCGATTCTCTGGCGAAGGATGACCGATATTTCATCCAAGGGAAGTTTTATAACTTGAAAACTTCAGTCTAAGCAAGAAGAATAGAATTGGAAAAGAGAAAACACATTAAAGAAAGGCCTAAAATAAGACAGTTGGGTTAGCGAATCTATCTTCGTAATCTCTAAGCGTATTAATCTATCTAAGACTTGATAAAATGACGAAGCTTGAGAATAGAATTAACAAGAAAATTCATTTCGGACAACATCCCCGATTTCCAAAATTAGACTTTCAATTCGGTTATTCTCAAAACCTCTGAGGAATTTTTTTGCAGCTAACTATTATGAAAAGAAGATAAATAGGTAACTTAAGGTTAGTACTTCAAATCGTTATATTTAACATATAACATTCAAACTTGATTTCATAATACCAATCTCATGGGGGTTACGAACTGATGAAGTACGTTTCCAACTTTTTCAGTTCTCCCTCCCGTTAATCTTTGAAATATTCTGTAAAAGTTACAGTCATCGGATGTTTCTATTGCGTTTTACAAAAGAATCAAGCTCTGTTGACGTTAAATCTCTCGTTATATAAGCACAATAAAAAAACCTCTTACAGCAAAAATAAAAATGCAATATTTGTTTTTTTTGTTTGATTTTTTCTTCAAGAAGCCTTTTATTTATTTTTTCAGACTAACTTATCAGGTAGATCAGTTTTGATTCAATGTATCTAAGAGTCTGGCATCCCAGTCTTTTCCAGTCGAACCTTGTCATTCTGAAAAGAACTAAAAGACCCAGACAGTTTTTAACTTGCGTGTATTCGATGAATTTAGTAGTATTAATGAATGGCTTAACTTTGTTCTGCCCAAGAACCACCGTTAGTTGAACATTTCTTCTTAAGATTGAAAGTTCTTAAGTGTTGAAAATGAAGAGCTGTGAAAATAGGCACACCTAAGAACATTCTGTCGTGAAAATTAAAATTGCAATCTTCATAGAGATCTCCTTGTCAAAAACAGCACGGCCAAAGTTTTTTAACCGGTAGTTTTTCCATGCATAAGTCATGAAGGCAACGGTACACGGCCCGGAGTGAATGGATGAAAATAATCTAATATTCCCCCGCTAATTTCAACGCATCCGTTCACACAGGGAGCGACGACGCTCTCCCATGGCCATTCATGAATCCGCGGAAGGCGCACACGTCTAACAAAGGACTGCTCCCGCCTTAGTAAATTCTACTTAATGGTATGTTAGCCGTATGGCAAAATTGATTGTTTCCTCCCGTGGGAGATCCTCGGCAGACGGTCGGAATTAGAGTTTAAACAGGTTGTTTACGCCGATCGCCCTTTGAACCCTTCTGGAGGTCTCCGGCCGGTCGGCGAGTCAGTTGTTGCCTAGAGCCAAAGCCGAGAACACCGTTATACCTGCCTATCTAAACCCGTGTTGTGCGCCACTGATGGTTTTGACGACCTGCCCGTGTCCCTTAAGAGTTCGGTACCAAACGTCTGAATCCGCCGGAGACTGTGGGGCCCTACCTAGTCGAAGAAAGAAGAGGACGACTGGGGCCGAGCTGCTTGAACTCGTTGGGGTAAGTGCAAACTTAAAAGTATCCCAATCCCCTCCTCGGATTCACTCTTTAAATTTTAACATAAAGGTATTTACCCATTCATATACAGTCCACTTAACGAACACAGGTAATTGAAGTTTATGCGTTAAACTCCCATTCATATACGCCTTCCAACGGAACGGGCCGCGTAGCGTCGCTTGTTACAATTTATCAACTCCGATCAACCTACGCGTCGCGGAAAAGCTCTCAACTGAGTTTGTTTTCTCGCACCATTGACTTTTCGTTTAGCTACGATTGCCATAGTCAGACCATTTTAGATAAAGACAGATCGAACTTTTACATTCATTTTTTCCCGTTTTTCAAGAAAGCCATCGGACCATTTACAAGTTTGAATGAACCTCACATTATTCGGAAATTTTCGAATAAGATCCATCACACAATGCGTGAATAATTTCTTAAGTGCAATGGGACTGCCTTCCAGAAGAGAGGCTTGTAAAAAATTCACCAAAGCATCAACGCAGAAATTAACGGCGTAACTAGAATCTACGTCGAGTTTGGACGATGATAATAGTTGAACTGCTAACTGGAAACTGCCGGAGGCATATGTATAGAATCACATTGGCAGAAACAAGCCTACGCAAATCTTGCCAGGAGGAAGAAGAAACAGCAGAACATGTCTTCTATTGGAGTAACAGGCTGAGCTTTAGTCTTAGGGGAACAAAAGCCCGGGAGTCCTTGAAAAAGCTTTGGGATCTGGTAAAAAGCCTTAAGCTTAATGAGCTCTAGATAATAATCTATTCGCACAATAGACCAAGACTGGGCGCGGTGCGTAAGTCGTAAAGAGAACGACAATTTTTCACCTTTAGGTTACATAACTGTTGGTTAGTTATGGCTGGAATTTTTACAAGATCCGAGAATAAAAATAATATTTTTTTTAGACTGTGAATGTCTACCATTATAATCTATTGTGTTTCAGTATAATACTTCATTAGCAAAAACGGATAAGAATGATTGTCAAGACCGATAAGATAGTATTACATATTTAAAATTAACCAAATTGGCAGGGTTATGTAAAGAAAAATGACAACTCACCTGTAGTAGTCTTTTTTGCAAAATATGCTTCCATCCCTGGCGAAGCAGGTGACCTCACCGTCGAGAGGCACTCGGCACTGGGAACACTGGAGGCAAGACGCGTGCCACCTCCGATCGACGGCGAATAAGTAGAACCTGTCGGTGATCCTGGTGTTGCAGCCGGCGCAGATGACTTCTTCGCCGGTCTGTTGAGGTGGAACCAATTGGTTCGGCTTGGGCTTCGACTCACCCCCAGGCGACCCGCAGTCTTGGCACGGGGTGAACTCGGATTTGCAGCAAGTCGACCCGCCGCTGCTCGAACTGCTGCTACACCCGCTCGAGTTGCTCGAATCCTGGCAAGGCAGGTTTGGGCTCAGGTCCCTCGATGGGTCGTACGCCGCCGCAAGCATCTGCTGACGGTCCTGCTGCTGTAATCAGAAAACAGATATACGTTAAAATATGGACGCAATGCGTTAAAACTGCTCTGGCGGAACCAGGTTTTTTTCCTCATTTGAATAGGTAAAACTGAGTTTAAGCCATTATGACTATGCTTCGCTGAACAGGTTTGCTTTTTGATCACACCGCCGCTGATATATATTAAATTAAACGCACAAACTATATGCTAAAAGGTTTTATTATTAAAATTAAACGACCTGGATGATTTTTTACTTTACTTTTAGAAAGTTTAACTATCATTCATCGTGGTTACAAGTTTTGGGGGCAGGAAGTAACTTTTTGGTTTTCATAGTGATTATTGATTGGTTTCTTTCTAAAAGGCAAAAACCAGAAGATTTCTTCTAATTCACCAAATTAATTCTTAACAAAAAGTCACACGTGTACAATAAATACGAATGGGTTTAGGCGGGGTAGTTGCATAGTAACGAAAACAAGCCCCTTCAGGGCACGGAACGTATTAAATACAGAAACAAACACGCACATTTATTAAAAACTCTTATTTTCATATTTCTCAAATTTTTTACACGCACGACAAAAAAAACTTGATAACTAAATAAAAAACTAAATCAAACATCAAAAACAAAATCAATTAACATATAGTACGATTATTCGAAGGAAAAATGTTGACACGAGTATAATTAAAATTTGGGCCTTTTAACTAAACTAAAAACTTTTTGCCCAATTTTGAGAATAAATCTCTGTACATTTTCTTCTTTGAAATTTTGAAAATTGCTTACATCCCTTTACCACAGCTATGATGGGCAAAACATTAGGAATTCTCTCCCCCCACCATAATGAGGACAGCAGAGAAAACTATTATTAACATTATCAAAAAGAAACTTCCAACACAAACTAACAGTATGTTTAAGCTCAAGCAAAATTTCAAAACAAATTTAAGTACCATACAAGAATAGGAACCGAATACTCACAAAGCTGAAAAAATTCACCAGTATCTCCCATGCTGGAGCAATCGAGAGAAGTACACCAAGAGTACAAAAATAAGAATCCTGTCAGACAGTCAAACAGACATTAAAACAGTTCAAACTAATTGGTTCAAAGATGGTGCTGAATTGCCAAACTAAACTAAATAGATTAGGTAAACAAAATAAAGTCACTGCTGGGTCCTAGGACATGTGGGAGTAGAGGACGCGCTTGCGAGAAAAGAAGTTGCTATTCAGCTGACAGGTCCTGAGCCTTCTGAGCCATAAGGATCACACTATCGATATCTTATACAAAAAGACAAATTCAATATGAGAAAACAGTGGAATTCAATCAATGGGCATAATCAATCCAAGAACCTTCTGGCTGTTGGAAACAACAGAATACGTTAAAGCAAGCAGGAAAAAAATTCGAATTCTGATAGGATTCTTGACAGAATATCTGAAGAACAATCTGAACAATCTGAAGAAGATTGTTATAGCCCTGCACGACACGTGCAGATTCTAGATAGAGGGAGAGGAGACACTAACACACCAACTAACAAGCTGTTGAGCTACAATTAATTGAGGTAAGGACATGTTTTGGGATGTACAACGTAACCTTGGAGAAATTCAATCACTGAAACCATGCCTACTCAACAGATCTTGATGAACTAGGTCTCACCGGTGTGCTATAGGTACAGACCGATGGATACAATAACTGTAAAATGGCGTAGTATATCACACACCCCGAATATTAAATGTCCATCCCATTATCTGATTTCATCAAAGGGCGTTTTTCTTAAGAAAACTTGCGATTCTAATCCTCCCCCCAAATAAAAAATAAATAAATAAAACATTTATTAGGCCAAATAACAAAAAAAATGTTTTTCAACATTTTAACAAGTTATTCAAAATCTATTTGTCTGTAGTTACTTTAGCCAGAATCAAATAAAACTACATCAATTTTTTCTGACAAGCTGCTCACGAATCACCTCGTTATGTTTAAAAACAATAAAATTCTATTTAAATCTTATGTTAAACGTTTGTAACACTAAACCGTAACATGGGTATAAATACATTTCTGGTATAAAAAAATATAGCCTTGGCGTGTCTATAATTTATCATGGCCTTTCCTAGGTGGTTATTAATCATTCTTTGCCTCGCGTAGGTTGCAAAAGAAATAAAACAGAAAAATCGTTTTGGTCCGTAACGAATCGCCACGAGCAATTGGTAATCGATAATAGTCGGCCCATTACAAATATAGAATAAATATTTTAAATCAGCGAATGATTCTGACAAAAAATTTCAGTTTATAGATATACAATTCACTAAGTTTCATATAATGAACCGAAGTTTTCTGATAAATCAAGACGATTCAAACATTGGGTTGAATTTGCAAACACCGTGTGAAGGCACTAGAAAAATAACAGGGGTATTCACGATCTTTGTGGTAATCCTGTAAACTATGTTAGGCCCTGTTAGATCGAGAAAAATGATGACGTAGACTTGAAAGAATCGGCTAGTTAACATTGCACGATGTAACAAGCCCTGGCCAATGTTAGATATTAGGTCGAAAACGTGGTCACATTGCTATACGTTAGGGCGTAGGTAACCCCATGGCAGCCATGAATTTAACAGCTGTTTTTTGTTTATACGTATTTTTAACCTATATATGCATTAATTCAATCAAAACAATACATTTATTTTGTTAATTTCTGACCGACCTGTCCTTATACTCTCATTCATAACAGATAAATCCCCTATCGTATAAAGTTGTGGGGTGTTAGAGGTTAGGATACAAGTTAAGAATGTCTGGTTAGGCATGTTAGGTAAAACTTTTGGCATCTTACAATTTAACACAAAAGAAAACTAAAACAAACAACAACAATCCTTCAAGGACTGTTATAGCTTTGTTTTTGGTTCTACCAATCGCCACTCGCAGTATTGCGTAAAAATTAACGTTTAACATGCCAAGAAATGAAGAGGGCGTTCACGATCTTACTGGACATTCCTCTATTCCAGTTAACACGAGTTAACATCTTACAAACATCGTGAATTCTCCCATTGTTTACACTTATTTGTTTCAAAACCATGAAATTCCATCATAAGTAAAAAGTACTTCCAGGATATAAAAAAGCTGGTTTGTTTGTCAGTTTCTCGTCTGCTTCCTATCTAATAAAGAATGTAAAAATGACAGTTATATAAATACGATTCTGTAGGAAGGCCTCTAGTTAACTGCTCCCATCTCACGACCCTCCATAAATCATATACTCATAATGGCGTTTATTGCTGTATAAATTATGTTATATGTTGTTAGTTTTACTGTATATTGTGTTCGCGCGAATGCGGCCGACGCAGGCCCGTGGATGAATAATCACATTTTTACAACCGCGCTTAATGACACGCAGGGGGGCTTCGTTTTAATATATATTGCGAATCCGAGGTCGCAAATCTCGACCGGGTACCTGTCCATGAGGGCATAAAGTTTTCCGTTTACAGCCTCCTTGTAATATGGGACATTCGTTGAAGCCGTGTCTACCTCGTAAATTACCGGTTACGGCGTTCGCCGAGGGGGTGGAGCTCATGCCAAAATTTGCAGTACTACTGTGACCTACCCGAGCGCACAGGTACATCCCGAAAACCCCAGATGTTTCCCGTTCAGAAACTGAAGATTACAACTCCTCGATAACAATTGTAAAAAAAAACTTAACACCGGATTTGCAGCCCAGAAGCCCTTGCGGACAACAGGCCTAGCCTAACTTTCTAACTCCGCCGAAAGACGGATTGGACAATTGTAGATCTCAATGACCTGAAGGGCTTAAAGAGGATAAACGAAAGGAAATTTACCTGTGCAAAAACCGCTAAGAGTTTTACTATGGTTTAGACTAATTCTGCGCAATCTCCAGGTAAAACTGAGTGAGGTGTTCCTACAACTTGTCTAAAATAATGATATGTGCAAAACGTTATTTACACGCATTTTACTGACTGTGATATTGTATAAAGTCTGGTAATTTAATATTTAAAAATATGAAGAAAGTGCAATGGTGAAATAAAAGGACTTAAATTTATATACTTCTGACAAAAAATCTGTAAGTACAAATATGTGTTTGTTCATGTATGTATTTGATGTTAATTTGGCCAAAAATAAATTGACTCTCAACACGAAAGACAAAATGACACACCTATACGTAAAACAAACACTTTAAGCCCTGAAGATGATCTCAATAAAGATCGAAACGTTGGCACGATATAGAAAATGTTTTTCTACAACCTACGTCACACCAGACCGCACCTCACCATCTCCAAATAATCATCAAGCAAGGGTCACTAAACAACACACATTAAAATGCAAAATATATCCTTTTGTAGAGCCCTGGAGAAGGTACAATAAAGTTCCGACAGATAGGCGAAGATGTAAAATTAAATATATCTTTCTTTGACCACATCCCTGATAACAACCAAAAGAACATTTTCAGCATAAGTTGGTCAATAAATCTGCAAAACATGTACAAACATGTTCAATGAGCATTATTTCAGTATGCGGTTCAACCCCTTCTTAATCATGCCTAATATAATCCTTCTAAAAGCCGTTATTCATTATCTTTCTTTATTATTGATTAGCCAGCAGGCATTGATGATTACTTATATATACTTAAATATACTCACTTTTTTAAATTGATTAAGATTCCAGTTCATTGCGTGGTAAAAACTATAAAATTATAAAACAAGTCGTAAAAGGTGCTTAGGGTTTTTTTAAACAACATATCAGTATATCATGACAGAAGTATGATTTTAATTGTCATTTCTTATTTGGACGTATTTATCCGTCTTAAACTATATTTTGTTTTTGAGGTTGAAATTCGCCTGTTAGTTAACAAGGTTTTCCTCTCTCTCGTTCAGTATTTAGGATTAATGTAAATTTCAATAAGCCCAGAGGATTTTCCATAATATGAACAGTAACACCCAATATCCAACTAAATGCAAATTTATGTTAAACTGGCCACATTTCCTCCTCTACTGATTTTAAAACCGATTAAGGATTTTCTGAGCTA